TGATACAAACCAAATAAGGAAATTTTCTTATGAAGATCGCAAGATCAGGTGTAACAGTTAGTGTAATATTAAAATGAAAGCTTTTTTAAAAAATAGTCGGTAGCTCAAAATTCTGACTAAGAAATCACCCTTAACGTTCTAATAAAAAAATTTCTTGCAAAATTTTAGTATATATTACCTTTACTACTAATTCTAACATCGTGACTCTCATGTGTTATTTGTGCCAATAAAAAAGGATATTTTTTGTTTTTTTTCTTTTTTGGTTTGTAAATCGGCTTTAGACGACCTCCTTTTTTTGCTTTGTTACCCGCACAAATAACAGGTGATTGACAATTCAGGGGGTAAATTTTTAATATGAAATCAAATGACTGACGCATCTAAATTTTATATGTAAAATTTAGACAAAATTTGCTTTCTAAGCTTATTTAACAATAAAGAAGTTGTTAGTTTAATTTCTGTATATCATTTTCAAATTCTCTAGCATTTGAAGAATCTCTTTATAAAATTTTAAGAGTAGTTTAAAATAAAATTGAGAATAATCTAGACCATGAAGTGGGCTAATTTTTTTGCAATTTTTATAATTTTTACTATTTGTTTACAAGTGATGTATATCATTTAACCAAAATAAGTAATTAGGCAGTGTTAATCGATAATCAGGCAGCATCAATTGATTGATACTGCCTCATTACTTATTTTGGTTAAATGATGTACATCACTTGTAAACAAATAGTAAAAAACTATAAAAATCACAAAAAAATTGGCTCTCTTTGTGGCCTAGATTATTCTTAATTTTATTTTAAACTATCCTTAAAATTTTATGAGAAAATAAGAGGTGTGGCAACTTAGTAAAGTGGTGAAGTTGTTATATTCCCAAGTGGTAGGACAAGAGTTCGAATCCCACTAGCAATGAAATTCGAATTTAAGGAATGTGTTACAGCAAACTGTATGTAATCTGATGAATTATCAGATCTGTAGCCTTGGTTATACCAGCTTGTACTGGAAGGATATAGAATAATAGTGTAATGCAAAGTTACACAAAATCTGAGTGAAACGTTTATATAAATCCAAGAGCTGAGGTATACAGAATCTTACTTGGCAAGTTCTGAGTAGAGAGGTAGCACAGATCTTTGATGGTACTATGTAAAGAATGATCATCAGTGATCGGACACCAGCAGTAAACTGAATAAGGACCAGGTATTTGGCAAGATACTAATACCAACTAGGCCGCGAGTATATGGGGGTGGCTCTGTATAAACGAAAAAAAAGGATTCAATCAGAATACCAAAAGGACACCCACTGGTTCCTTCCCGAGTTATCTGGATTGGGAGTTTAGGATACTGTTGGTGAAGGAAAGTCAGTATTAGTCTGTAAAGTGTGTGCTGAAGTCTGGGTGAACTTTGCAAGGGCAAGGAGTAGGTAATGATAGCGGAGAGATACCACAAGTACTTGGTCCCGGCCTAGATATAAGTTACTGAAAAACTAGGTGATACATGTGTGGACATAGAATGCTCTAGTAGATTTACCACAAGGATAAATTAATCCTAAGGGGCCTTAGCAGCAGTTTCTCTTTGAGAAGAATATCTGACAGCGCTAAGTTGATCAGAGGGTTTAATTGGGTAACTTAAGTAATAGTAGATTATAGGTACGGCATCTAGTATAGTATTTAGTAATAGGGAACTACTTAATTAGACACTTAAAAGGTGTAGATATAGCTAGAATGTATCCTTGTTAATGTAACAAAATTAGAGTGGTCCTGTGGTTGCCCTGGCATTCATAACCGAAGTTAATAAACATGCCAGACCCCCAAGTGGTCACCTTAACATTAAAAAAAAATAAAAATTTTATGAGAAGATTCTTCAAATGCTAGAGAATTTGCAAAATGATATCCAGAAATTAAACTAACAACTTCTTTATTGTTAAATAAGCTTAGAAAGCGATTTTTGTCTAAATTTTATATATAAAATTTAGGTGTGCAGTCATTTGATTTCATATTAAAAATTTACCTCTAAATTGTTGATCACCTGATAATTAAAATCTAAATAACATATGTACTCTCCACTATACAATGTATCCAGAATACAAATCAAATTTTACTACATAAAATTTAATATATACAGGTGTTTCTATATATAGATGTCTAAATTACTTCTCTTAATAAAAAATTATTTTGACATTTAATCTGTTGAAATTAATTTTTCTTAGTATCAAGGAGTTCCTTAACTTCTAGAGGTTTTCACTCAATTCGCACTAACAAATAGCACTCACTTGGTTATACAGGACTGGAGTATCGTACCAAGTATTCCCACTCTAAATTTCACATACACTAACACACAGTTTATACTTTAAGTGTCTTTATTTATTAACTACTAAAGCTAAGCTAAGACTAACTCTAAAGCTAAAAATCAACTGTTCTTATTTCCAAGATCTTATCTTGTTTAAATAATCAAGATCATGCAACGCATTAGTTATATGAACCCAATCTTATGAAGATCACAGCACCATGAAATCCAGGGGCACGATTTAACCCATGTCATAAGCTAGACCCCAGAACTTTGTCCCGAAGTTACAACCCATGCAAAACCAAATTACCAACACAAATTATTCTATATAATAATCAACCCTAATTTTATCCTATTAATATAATAACTACAATACTAAAACTAATATGCATACATATATATATTTTGCAAACAGTTTCGAACATCACATAATTCCAACCTCAAGCAATTCTAATGTCTATTATTATGACTACATCTGAGCTTTCAGCATCCATACTGAGATCTTAGTTCTATATCAATAACAGTATCCAACATTATCTATTCCAATTCCTACAACTTCATTAATGAATTTGATTTTTCAGGTCATTTCGTAATTCAGTAAGGGTAAGGCTTCCATTTTTCTATCATTTGTTTGGCATGTTTAATTATTATTGATCAGGTTAGTTTCAACAATATTTATTTTACTAACTACTCTTTTTTTATTATCTACTTCTCCTTTACTATTAACCGTTGTTTTATCTTTTTCAATCTCCTTTTTCATTTCCATTACAAACACCAATTTCTTTGTTTGATTATACATCTTAAGTAGAAAGAACTCAACTTCATCATGATCCCTCAAACCAAAAATATAACAAAACCTCTTCCAATCTTCTAAAACCTCACCATTCATTATTATCACATGAATCTCATAATGCTTAGAATACTCTTTCACACATTCCTCATCACCTTGCTTTATTCTCAAAATTCAGCTTAACTAGGGTTGTTAATGGAGTAGCTTACTCCAAAGCACTCTAGAGTAGAACCCAACCCAAATTGGAGTGGGTTTAAAATTATGCCTTTAAATTTGAAACAACTTGGAGCAACCCAGAGTATTATGAAGCAACCTGGAGCAAAATATTGGAGTAGGTCTAATTTGGTGAAGTGGGTTAAAGACTGTGTTAAACCAAACCAATCCAACCCAACCCATTAATAACCCTAGCCTTAACCGATTGATACTATTTTTGAAAGAAAGAAACCCAGAATATATCTCTTTGATTGATCCTTGATTAACAGGCTTCTGCTTGTTGCTTTCAACTCCAATTCTATTTTTAGAACAAAAATCCAAGATCATAAGCTATATTAACATGATTTTCAACATCATTATTCATGAATTTTCCTACTATCAATGCTTTTTTATCACTGTAGACACCACAACTCCTTTTCGGCACATTTTCATCAGATAGTATATCAGGTAAGCCTTTGATTTTTGTTTTATCTGTTAAATTCAGTTCATCATAATCTATGCATCTAATATTTACAACACTTTTAGCAGCTTCATCAACACAATCGATTTTAGGATCACGATCTTTTAGGTATTCGTCATTCAGTAAGGGTAAGGCTTCCATTTTTCTATCATTTGTTTGGCATGTTTAATTATTATTGATCAGGTTAGTTTCAA